CCCCAAAACCCCAAAACCCCAAAACCCCAAAACCCCTAGGACATAAAACAATATTGAGATTTTATAAAGAATATTTATTGATGACTGCTATATCGCAATTAACCGAAATGAAGAAGAATAACCTCCGTGGCTACTACATAGATAGCGACGGAGACGAGATCATCATCAGTGATGATGAGGACTATGACTCCGCTATTGAATATGTCAAGAACAAACGCAATCGTGGAGTTCAGTTTGGACTATGAAAAAGACAACATGATGACTCTGAAAACCCATATGGGGTGTCAAAGTTTTTCAGAGATTCTCTATCATTTTCTCAGAATTATGACCAACCTGCTATTGTTCATGAGAAGGTAAAGAAATTACAGTTTGGAGATGCCTCCAGTCGTGATTCATCAGATGAAGATGTGTCTGATGATGGTATCGAAGAGCTGGAGATCAAGGCTCGGGAGGCTTCACAACAACGAGATGACTTCGATAAGCTATTGAACCTAAATCTTAAGGAAACTGTTAGTGAAGAGGCATCCTTTATATTCCCTTCTGAGTCAAATGAAGAGTCTTTGTCCCAAATAGATTATTTCCATCAGATAGAAGATGCTGAAAGTATCGAGAGCTATGACTGCCAACTAGAGAAGAAGGTCTCAGGGGTCTCTAACCTCTCAGAAGGTCTATGTGAAGACTTTGAATTGATTCCTTCTAAACTACACTCCTATCACCTCAAAGAGGAGAGGAATAAATCTGATTTTGAATCTGAACCTGAAGATTTGAAGGAAAGTTTTGAAGCCTCCCAACAATTTTATAAAAAGATTGTCGACTCCTTGCATAAGCCTAATGATGAGGCCAAAGAAATCCCAGAAAAGCCTAAAGATGAGTATTCTGGAGAGTTCAATCTTGTTGAATCAAGCCAGATTTTGGAGAACCAAAATCCAGCAGAAGAGAATGATATTGAACAACCTCTTATTATGAAGGGAAAAAGTACCTTAAAAGAACCGGTGGATGATGAAAAAGTAGGTGCAGTTGACCAACCTCAGATAGTACCTAAAGAAGATATCAAAAAAGAGGCTAATGAAGAACTTAAAAACCATTCAGACCATAAAGAAGAGCTTAAAGGTGAACCAAGGGATGACGTGGCTGTCTCAGTGGCACAGGCCACAATCTTAAAAGAAGATCACCAAAGAAAATCAACCTATCTTAAAAGAGCACTTGAAAGTCTCAAATTTGCTTTTAGTGATCCTAAGAAGAAACTGGAAATTGCTGATATTGATGACTGTGAGGAGGAGAAATCCCAAGAATATGTTATCACAGCTAAGCCAGGACAGATAATTAAGAAGCGATGGAGGCTGATTAATAATTCTAACATCCGTTGGCCTAAGAATACCACTCTGAAATGTCAAGCAAAGGATGCTATTGTAGACCTACCAGAGATCTCAAAGCCGCTCCAGCCAGGGCAGAGAATGGATATCTCGGTGAATATCCATATCAGCCCAGATATCTCATCTAATGAAGTACAGGTCTTCATATTCAGGCTCCATAATAGGATTTATGGCTACTACGGAGTAGCCTTAGTGGCTACTGTAGAAGTCACGCCTAGTTATAACTCTAAAATTTGGTTGAATAACTCCCAAGAGTCATTCGAGGAGCTTATCCACCAAGTCGATGATGCAGAGTGCGTGCTCTATGGCATAGCTAATGACTTCGTAGAGGAAGGGTTGGGTAATTTTGAGAAATGTCTCCAAGCTCTTACTCAATGTCAAGGGAACTACGAAGAAGCCAGAAATTGGTTGGTCAAGGAAAACAAATAAGTTACATATTTTTAGTTAATTTGCATTTATTTGGATATCAGATAATTCAACGAGGAGCCACTATCTCGGGGTTTTGGGGTTTTGGGGTTTTGGGGTTTTGGGGTTTTGGGGTTTTGGGG